ATTAGTTTACATAGATTTAAATAGTTTCAGGCATGGTTAGATTAGGCTACTATAAAAGAGTTCACATATTGACTTTTCTTGAAAATATTTAGCTATTAGATCTAGCTATTTACAGTAAATGCTTCAGTTTGTTTTCATATTATAATAATATAATATGAAAACAAATTGAAGCATTTAAACTATCACTTCAAATACTTCAATTCATTTTTTTTATATTATATTATATTGGGCATATATTTTATTATATTATAAGCCTAAATAAAGAATCTCACAAGGGTATTGTTTAGGGCTCATTGCCATTAAAAAGTTTGAAACCCCCTGCTAAAGAAAAATATAGGCTAGGAAATTAATAAGCTATAAACAATCATTTAACTTTGATGGTTTAATGCTGCCTGTACAATTAATTGACTGTACAAAAACACTTTATGGTTTTCCTAAACCATCTCAGTGTAACAGCTTAATTTTCTTTTATAATATATTATATTATTGTAAAGAATTGAACTGTCCTGCAGAAGACTTTGTAAATAATTTTTCATAAGATTTCTTAGTAAAGACTGGAAACAGGACACCGAGGAATTGGAGGATGAGGAGGATACTATTTTGTAAATATGTTTTCTGTCATGGGTGTGGCTATGGCAATTAAAGTTCGAGCATATTGTTTGCAAACTGCAATTGATTAATTAATTAAAAACAAAAAACCGTCGGTGTGTGAATGGGTGAATGTGAGGCAATATGTAAAGCGCTTTGGTGGCCATTGGGTCTGTGAAAGCGCTATATAAATGCAGTCCATTTACCATTTACCATTTGTTAAGTAGCATATTGTTTGCAAACTGCAATTGATTGATTAAAAACAAAGTAGTTGATATGCTGTGTTGTTTTTGTTGTTAAGTAGCAGCAATATGCAGTTATTAGCCGTGTCCACTGTATTTTTTGTTGGTTTTCATGAGACCCCCCTTGAAATGACCAGGACCCCCCATTGCCCCCCCAATCAAAATTGTCTGGAGCCGCCACTGGTAATAAGTCCAATCGTTCATGCGGTTTATTTCCATTTGAGCAAGCATGCAAACAAATGGCGTCTGCAGCCTCTCTTTCCCTGGTAAAAAACAACAACAACCTTTCCCAGTGCCTGCCTGTCCTAAGTGTGACCACCATTATATACATGCAGACAGGTGCTCAGTACTATCAAAATAAAAGTCCCAAAAAATACTCAAATTAACTAAAATAATAACATTAATATTCTGGATCTACATCAATAAAATAATCATCTACGCAGATTCGGTGCTTGGACCCTATTTACAAGTCTGAAATACAATTCTAAATAAAGTCTGAATCAAATTCAAATGATAGTGCAGGTTATTTGTCATTTTGTCAGCCCATCAATGTCACAAATATATATATATATATATATTTTAACCTTTCATGTTGCAGGCCTCTTTTTTGGTGGCTACATACTGTCACTTCTCCTGCTGCCCCTCATGTTGTGAATCTTTATTCATCCTTCTCAAGCACCTTTCCTTTCACATGTTTCCTTTTTTGGCCACTCTTTCATGAGTGCCTGTGTCACACATCATTGGTGGCCCTTAGAAGCAGGGTGTCAATTCAATTCAGGCTATGGCACAATCCCTCTTTGTAGGAGACGCCAAAACAGCTTGTCTGCAGTATTCAGCTTTTACAGCTCAAGGCTCTCCTCCAAGACCAAGACCACCATGCTGCATCCCCCGAACCCTAGCTTCTGGCTTTCTACACTTTGTGGATTAATTATAATTCGCAATGTCGCACCCTCACAGTCATCTGAGGCAAATGATCCAAAATGGCTGCCATGTCGCTGTGAGGGTGTGTTGGGATTTGCAACGCTGTGTTCTCGGTGGGGTGCTGAGGGGAAATGCAAAGGGCCCTCAACAGGCTTTGATGTGTGCTGGTGATTATTGAGGCTAATCAGGAGTGCCATCAGCGGGCTAGCAGAAAGCCTGCGCTTTGTTTGTGTTCTTTAATGCTAATCACTGCGGCTAACACATTAGGCACTTTGATTTATTGGCTCAGGGACAAGGCTTCTTTATAAGTTTATCTGATCAGTGGTAAAAGGGTTTATCATTATTAATGAATGTGCACTCCAAACAGGCTCAGCGGCCATTGTTTCTGCACAGTGTATCAGTATAGGCTAAACTATAGAGACTGCTATGCCTCTATTAATTTCAGTTTCACTAGTGTGCCAATTACCACATCTGTTGAAAGGACTAGCATATATGTTAACCCATGTTTTGTATAATGTTCCTTAACATGGGATAGCCTAGGCTAAAAATCTAAAGCAGCTGGACTGCTGAGAAAAAAAAAAAGAAAAAAAGAAAGAACTTGGCTAAGGTTGTGGTCGAAAAGTGTTTGTTAAAAAATGGCTTCTTGATTTTGTCATTTTGTTATGAAGATGAGATGGAAAAGTGCACCCTAAATTCAAGGATATTAAACATAATAGCACAGAATATTAATAATGCACTTTTTGGGAAAGATTATGCTTGTTTCAGATCATTTCATTCAGTGTGACGGGGATTGACCTGCTTGAGCTGCACGAGCTGAAGCGAAACAGTGAATGAACACCAGTAAACTCAAACGCAGCAATCGGGTTAATTAACTCACCCGAACGCATCCTATAAATATGTGATTAATCACGTATATGCACAACATAAAAGTAATATTACAATTTGCCTCTGCTCAACATGACGTGAATAACAACTATAACAACACCGTGTTTGTTAAATGTTGAAATAAATATAGGATAAGTAAATATATAAAACGATGCAATTGTAGTCAGAGTAAAATGAAATATGTTAAGTTAATAATTTAATATTTTAATCATGCTTAAATATTTGTTGACAAAATATTGACTAAATATATTTTCTTTAAAGTATTGATAGATAGATAGATAGATAGATAGATAGATAGATAGATAGATAGATAGATAGATAGATAGATAGATAGATAGATAGATAGATAGATAGATAGATAGATAGATAGATAGATAGATAGATAGATAGATAGATAGCCACAGTGAGTTAAAGAGTAAGACACACCAAGAAAGAGAGGGAAAGAGAAGGAGAGATATAGATCAACAACGCTGTGTTTACAATTGGGTGCTAAAGGTCAACAGAGGCCTAATACAAATGAACCAGAACATGATGCATGCGTACAGCAGGAGTTTGGGGAAGCACCCGACCCTGTGTACTTCTCTGTATGTGTGCTTGACAAAGAATGTGTGCTGGTGTGCTTGCCCTATTCATCTTAGTGATCTACACTTTGTCCTTTCACATATATCAAGAGTTCAAGCTAGAATCCCTACCACGTTTACTCCAGCATCACAGCTGGTACCTGGAATGACAGACCAGTGATGTCTGAAACCCTCACAATTTACATGCCCTGTCAGCACGGTGGGTGTGTCGGCATTTGATGAAGAGTGTAGATGTTGTATTAATGTCCTTAATTTTTGTAACTCATACCTTGACAAACTGCAAATGGGAAGCAAAAATGCAAAATCAAGCATGCCGCAAATAACTTGACTCCATTTAGCCAAACAAGTTTTCAAATGTCCATTAATAAACATTTAACCTGTGCCCTAAACATAATATATATATATATATATATATATATATACAATCCAGGTTAGATACCCACTGTATGTATACACTGTTGCATGAAGAGTATTCAAAAAATATCCTTTTGTGTTATCCAATGCTTTATGTACATACATTTAATCTTATGCATACATACATGCAAACACACACGCACACACACACACACACACACACATACACTACCGTTCAAAAGTTTGGGGTCAGTGAGAATTTTATTTTTATTTTTTGGAGGAAAGAAATCAATACTTTTATTTATCAAGGAATAATTAATTTGATCGAAAGTGACAGTAAAGACATTCATAATGTTACAAAAGTCTTTTGAACTTCCTATTCATCAAAGAATCCAAAAAAAAAAAAAAAAAACTGTACAACTGACAGACCAACAACTGTTTCAACATTGATAATAATAATAAATGTTTCTTGAGCATCAAATCCTCATATTATACTGATTTGTGAAGGATCATTTGACACTGAAGACACTGACACTGGTGATGCTGAAAATTCAGCTTTGATCACAGGAATAAATTACACTTTACTATATATTCACACAGAAAACAGCTGATTTACACTGGAATAATATTTAATACTATAACTGATTTTTGTTGTATTTTTAATCAAATAAGCACAGCCATGGTTAGCAGAAGAGAATTCTTTTAAAAGTATTTAAAATCGTACCGACCCCAAACTTTTTAACGGTAGTGTACACACGAGTATATAAAACAGGATATATATATATATACATAAACACAACATGAAAGGAAAATGTGAGAAGTGATAAGTCAGATCAAATAAAAATAAAAACCTTTTTAAAGGAACTAAATAATTTTGAAGGATTTAAATCAACAATTTAATCATTAAGTAATAATAGCCCTTGTCGCATCAAGTGTAACATAAAGCTGAATGAATGAGCTGAACCTGTGCTACAGGCTGAAAAGACATCAACCAGTAAATTCACTCGCTAAATGGCAGCACCGAGTGAAATAGCTTCACTGAGGGATTTAGCAGGCAAAGTTCAGCAGGTTGTTTGAGCTGCTTAACGTGGATTCAGCAGCAGCTCTTTCAATGTGACCTACTGCACCTGTGAAGAGAACAGGAGCAAAATCCTCGTCCAAAGCCAAAACCCACTACCCTAATCACTTAGTTTGCTGACACCAACAAAAAAAAAAATTTACTATGGTATAACTGTGACATGGTACCATGGTAGTGAAAATCATTTGTAGTACCATCATAATATTTTAATCAGCCATTACCCGTGTATATAATGAAGTGCCACGTGTTTGAAATACAGAACTGAGATAATACTCATATAACAAATAAAAAAATGTAAAAGTTTACACCATGATTTGCCAACTGCACAGGTATAGAAAACGAAATTCTTACCCGTCGGGATTTGATCTCTTTCACATAAAGTGGAAGAAGGAACTCCGACACTCCCTCTAATCTGATGCCCTCTTTGGTTACGCGGAGATTTCCCATGCCATCCTGAGGGAAAGAGAAAAAGAGAGAGAAAGAGTTTGTGATATGCATGCAAATATATTATTGTTTAACATATTTACGGTTTTAATTGATTGTTTTTCTGAATCAAGTATTTTTCACCTGTAAATATCCTGAGTTCAAGGCAAAACATCAGCATCTGAATGATAACAAGCTAAGAGACATGCTGTCTCCCTGTGCTGTGTACCGCTGGTGTCACTAGTTTCATTTTCATGGACTTTTAAGGGCCGTTTATACACAACACACCATTTTCAAATAAAAAAGGAAAACTTTTTATGTGTTTTGGCCATTCATGTAGATGACAATGCCGTTTTGGGAGCCTGAAACTTTTTAAAACATTGTCCCCATGTAAACAACAAAAATGTGAATTTGTGAAAACGGTGACATCATGTGCATACATATTACTTCTTCAGTGACATCGGCAACTATTTGCCTGACGTGCATTATAGAACGTGTTTAGTCTTTTTCACGGATCAGAGTGAACGGTGTACGCAAAAAAGCGTAAAAGGAGAAACTTTCCCGTCTTTTGCTCATCGATATCGTGTAAATGTACCCTAAGTTTATTTTTAAATGTTTCTTGTATTTACTTTCTGTTTCATAGGTTGTCACGGTAACCAAGTATGTTTTCGTTTGTCGTCATGCTTACTCATCGTTTCATTGATTTCACACACCTGATCCTTGTTTTGTTCATTCATTTCACTCTGTATATACTGTCCTCAGTTCAGTTTGCTCACTGTCTGGTTTTGACTGTGCTCTAGCACACTGTTGTGTTTATTTTACCATTGTAGAGTTTCCACTTTTGTTTTGTATATTGAAAATTAAAGTAACTGTTGCTAAATTGATCCGCTTTGCCAGAAGCATGAATTGATAGTTACATTTTGCATGCTCTTGTTTTTCTGAATGAAAGCTTTTCTGTCTTGTAGAGAATGCAAGAATATGGATGTCAGAATGTACAAAAAATTACCAGTTTGCTCCCACGTCTCTGCGTTAATAAATGATTGTAAATGCTCAGATGTAAATGCATGTGGATTTAAACATCTCTCAAAGGCTGGTTTCTCTATTCAATTTGGGTTGCACAAAAAGGAGCCCCACGGCTGTTTTCCAGCATCCTTTACCCCTATCTCTCTATCTCCTTCCCAAATGCCATAACTACAATAATGACGTCAGATACCAGTCCACATTTTTCATATTTTTAAAAAGACTGGACATGTTGATAGAGAAGTATGTAGTTTTTTTATGATTCAACATATTTATAAAAAAAAAAAAAAAAATTGGCTATACTTTTTAAATGATTCTACCTTTTTATCTTTTTTTTACCTCTTTTAACCAGTTCTTTTTTCTCTCAAGAGTACATTATTGTGTTCTTGGACAACGTTAATTAGTCAATTACTAGATAAGCTGATTTCATGATTGACTCTAAAAGCATTATGTCACAATTATCACATAGAACACTATAATTACTGAATGTGAAAGCACTGCCAGAAGATAGGGAACTTCAAGTCCTGTTCCGACACAATTTCAGATAAACTAAAAGCCGAAAAGGTGGACTCTGTTAACCTGTTATTCTTTGGCAAAGTAGACCATGGCACTGCTGTTAAACAAGAGTTTAAAAAGAGAACAACGAACACCTGAACCCAATGAGTGGATGTTTTTTTTTTTTTTTTCTTAACTTATTTTGACCAGATTTTCCATTTTTAGAGAAAGAGTAAAAAAAAGCATTTAGTCCGATAAACTGCAAAACAGGTATTCTGTTCAGTGCCTGATTAGAAATGACAAGAAATGTCTAGTATGTGTAACGGTTTGGTGTAGTAAGCAAACGTTTGAACGAGAAATACTACAGTATTTTATTATAAGCACAGGAGATTGTTAAAAAAACACATTACAAGTAGACAATAAACAACAAATGACTAAACTGAACAGGAAGTATATATATATATATATATATATATATATATATATATATATATAGGTGATAACAATGAACCAAATAAGAAACGCATGATAATAATTAACCATAGAAACCAACAGGGACATAATCAGAATCCAAGGAAACAAAAACTAAACAGGAACTAAGGGAAACACAACAGAACATCCAGCCCGATCTCACAGCAATTCGTACGAATTTTACGAGGTGGCTAATTCGTACTAATTCATACGACCTCACTCGTACAAATTCGTACGATTTTTGCTAATTCTTACATATTTTACGAGTTACCAAATTCGTATGAATCCGTACGAATGACCTACCCCTGACCCTGCCCCTAAACCTACCCATCACGTGGGTTTAGACAAATCGTACAAATTCGTACGAGTGAAGTCGTATGAATTAGTACGAATTAGCCACCTTTTAATCACTCGTACGAATTCGTACGAATTGGTCGTGAGATAGCGTTGGAACATCAAAATAAGAATCCAAGACAGTGACAGTATGTACATTCCTACTTGTACTAATTTAAATCGTAATAAAATTTTACAACATTCCGGTAAGCGAATGCATTCCACAACGAACAGGAAGTATAACGAACAGTTCTCTGCATTAAGAGTCCAAAACAGCCTTAATGCAGAGAAAACCTAGCCGATTTCTTCAAAGATGGTATTCATCAAAGCACGAGCGCCATTGTGTATGTTGTGTCAAAAGGAAGGCCCACTGTCTTTAACTTTGAAAACCCGTGCATTATACATTATATTACTTAATGTTGTACAGATTAAATATGTTCCTTTTTCTCTTGTTTTCAGTTTGCTTTTGGTAAGCAAACAAAAAGCCATATTGATTCACTAGAATAAGATATCATAATAACACAATACATTTTTTTATCAAGGTTAACAGGATTCTGTGGTGGGATTGGAACTTGCACGACATCTGAAATGATACACAAATTCCACCAAAGACAAGGTGGTTCTTAGAAAACTGATCCACTAAACCTGCTGACCTCAAACCAGGAACCAATAACATCAGTGATAATGTCCTCAAAACAGCTGTCTACAATGAAGTATCAAAACTTAACAGCTCCATAGTGTGCTGTAGGGATAAGGCCAAAACCTGGAAAAATTGTTCGCCAGTGGTTCCCTCAAAATTTTCCTATGGGTTTTTACAAGGGGGTTTTTACATTTATTAGTAAAATAAGGTACAGAAGTTGACAATACTTTTTGACGACACGTTTTGATCTACAACGTAAATTACACACACCCATGTCAAAACATGAATTTTAAAGCTGAATGTTTAGGGTGTGCAGTTTGCAGTGTAGAACAAAACGTCCAAGCATTGTAAAGTTATGTTTACCACAGATCATATTTTACTCACAAAAAAAAAAAAAAAAAAAAAACATTATAAAAACCCATAGGGCAATCTCGAGTGAACCACTAGCGAATTAGTCTTCCGGGTTTTGACGTCATCCCTGCATCACTCTATTATTACAAACCGTTCTACAATAAGCGGCCAATGTTTCAATGCACCTTCAGCTGAGAGATACACTCAGACAGTTTCTCAGTCTGTCTGAAATACAATGATTTCATTCACAAATATCATGTCATTTACATACTGCTGTTGATTTATTTTTTAAATAGCTTGTTTTTAAGTTACTTTAAAAAGCATGCAGATCCAGCACTGTACCGAGCACTGACATCATCACAGTGAAAAAGGGGTTTTCTTGGTGACAGTCTGTGCCAGCTCAATAACTAGACATTCTTTCAATCAGTGACCACTTTAGGAGATTCAAGGAGTGACAACAGTGTCAGTGAGGCCTTAAGGCCTATAACTTGATCTTCTTTTAGTACCATTACAGCTTGCATTTCTGCTTCAACTGGCATGACAGTGGTACCATCAACTTCCTCGACAGCAATGGCCATCTGAGTTGCTGCTCCTGCAAAACATTTTCAATTTCAGCACTTCTCCCTGTCATGATCAACTGAACGGCTTCTACTGAGCATGCTGGACTGATCTTGTTAAGACCAAACATCTCTGTGACATAAGGGCAAAAAGGGAAAGTGGAATCTCCTATAATATCAAGCGTGTTGAATTAGAAGCTAACGTGTTATTTGTGTACATTATTTCTTCTGTCGCATGCAGGTGCCTGTATTTCCATTCAGGAATCAAACTACATTCCCAATGGATCATTCATCAACCTCTTCATCAGCTTTGCAGACATAAATGCATACTCATCCATAGTCATTTTTAATACAGCACAAGTGTGAATCAACCATCTCTGTGTGAGCAATCTACATCATGTAAACAGACATACAATCATCACTTCAGTATGCTGTCAGCCGGCTGATTCATGGCAATACAGTGCCATTTAAACCTTTAGTGGGGATTCGATTAGCTGATATAACGGAGCCAGCATAGATAACACTTGAGCAGATTAGGTTTCAGTTATGGCATACTATGTTCTCATCATTCTGTTCTCATAAAATAAATGTAAGTATAAAATATAATATATAATTATTTTCTATACTATAATATATAATATAAAACTATAAAAATATTAATTGGTATTATTGAGCTAAGTTACTGTAGCTGAGTCTCCGCTGACAAATACCACAGCTCACAGCACTGTTGCTAGTAGAAGAAAAATGCAGCTGCAAATTGAATGTCTGCCAACATGAGCAAAAAAACCCCCCACAAAATATAAATAACGCCTGGGGGTTACAAACGTTGCTTTGAAATACTAATAAAGGTCTTTATTGAATTTTAATTTAACGTTGAGTTGACTTTGGAATTTCAATAATAATAACCTATTACAAGGTCAAGACTTTATTTATTTTCACTCTGTAGATTTAACTATGCCTTGCCAGGCACGGGTGTACTCTGGATCGATGTATTATTCGATTTAAACAACCTTTGCTGGATGCTGCTTTTAAAAATTTATGTTGCAGAACAGCGGAAAATAATGCAAACCAGCAGTTGTGTCCCCCCACATACACACACACAGTCACCTCCTCATCACCCTATTGGGAGGTGCTATAATGTAAGTCCTTGTTGTGAATGGATC